CCCCCCCCCCCGAGCTGTCTCCCTGTGCACACACAGCCCTGCTATTCTCCCATAATTGATCTCTCTGAGGAGTGAGATACACTTTAGTTTGGCTGGAAGCCACAGGAGTAGGTTCAATTCTAGACCTGAAAGGCAGCTAGGGGCCATTGTCGCAGGGGTTCCATCAGGCACTATCAGACCAGCAAACTTGGTCCCCCCCCCCTTTTTTTATGATTTTGAGTTTTGTTCTACATTGTTCTCCCACTCTCCAGGATCTCGTACATACATCCCCCTCCAAGTAGTTGACAGTGGTAGCCAGGCACCATCTAGTTCTTCTGGTCTCATAGTCAATAGGCTGAGGATGGCATTGTGTACCAGTCGCTTGGACTAATCATTTCCACACATCTTTGGTTTTCTTCATTATTCTTTGCTCTGGACAAGGAGAGACCCATCGTTGCATCTAGATGGCTGCTTGCAAGCTTTTAAGATCCCAGTTGCTACTCACCAAAGTAGGATGTAGAACAGTGTTTTTGTGTAGTATGTTATGCCAGTTGAGCTTGCTGTCCCCTGTGACCATGGTCCCGAGTCTAGGGCTGTAATCTACAGAAACAGATCTCTAGGTGTTTCTCTCACGGAGTTGCTGGGTGAGTTCGAACTGCCAAAGTTTGAGTTAACCATTTGCACCACCAAGGGACTCCACTAAAGCCTCACGTGGTTGTTGTCAGTTCCGACTCATGGCGACTCTGTGGTTAACCCTCAGGAAGGCCCAGGAGGAAGGCACATTATTCTCCTGTTTCATGGATGAGGACACTAAGGCCCTGAATGTGAAGTAATTTCCTCAAGGTCACCTAGGGAGTGAGTGGAGGAGCCAGGCACGTAGCTCTACCCACATACTACCCTGCCTCTCTGGCCGGGTCCTCACCATAGCTACATGAGGGTTAAGGGTAAGAAAACAGGGCCTCAAGAGATGAGGTCATTTGTCCAAGGTCACACAGCTGGCTGGCAGTTTCTTGGACAGTAGGTTTCAGTGTGTCCAATGCTGAGCTTATTTTGAGCCCCCAGTGAACACTGGCTGTGTGGCAGAATGGGGAATTGAACTCGTTTTGTCACGGAATCCATCAGCTAACTTGACTAAGACCCGACGTGGGCTTGTCTGTCCTTGAAGCTGGACGGCCTTGGGAGGTCGGATTGCCCTGAGGTCCTGCTGGTAGAAGTTGGTGTCTGTTCCCTGTTGGCCTCCATGGGTCCAGCCTGCATTTCCTCTGTTGGAGGCAGCTCCAGGAGGGTTCCCAGGACGCCATCTGGGCCTGCAGCAGGCTGCCCCCTCCCAGACAGCACAGCCAGCTCTCTGGTTCAGGTGCCCATGTTCCCGAGAGGGCCTCACCCTATGAAGACGTCAACTGGGAGTTTTTGGAATCTGCCCTGGGCCCAGGGAAAGTTTTCCTCATGTCCTGGCACTGGCAGATGGCAGAGTCCCTTTCCCAGCCCCAGTCCCTTTCCCATCTCCAAGAACCTGCCATGCCTCTCATGGGAGCCCCCAGTAAACTCACTGGATGGGAGGTGGGAGCTGTCTTTCTTGGACAGCACGTGTCTACCTACTCTGTCTAATTGATCCTTACAACTGCTTTTGGACAAAGCAAAACCAAACTCACTGCCATCGAGTCAATTCTGACTCATAGTGACCCCTATAGGGTTTCCAAGGCTGTAAATGTTTATGGAAGCAGATTGCCTCATCTTCCTCCCACTGAGTGGCTGATGGGTTTGAACCACTGAACTTTTGGTTAGCAGCCCAACGCCTTAACCACAGCAGTAGCAGAGCTCCTAGCTTTTGGACAGAGAGGTGATAATATCTCATGTTTTTTAGTTGAAGACAATAAAAATGGTGTGACGTGGAGGGAGGCATCTGGCCTCCTTAACTCCACATTGGGGAACTCTGGAGAATCGTTTCCAGTGTTAACTACCCAAGGCAGGTTCCTATGAGGCAGAGGTCAGACATGCTTCCTCTCTCCAGCCTTTGTTACGAATTGTGACACCACTTGTCCCTCCTGGTCATTTTCTACTCCTCTGCTGGGTTCGATAATTTGCTGCAATGGCCACACAGAACTCAAGAGATACTCATGATTATGTGGCTTATTAGGGAAGTAACAGGTGCAATTCAGGATCTGGCATGACTCAGGACACAGCTCTTTGATCAGGATAACCTCTTCTCAGCTGTGCCTGCACTCAGGCATTTCTCTGGCCCTTGCCACCTTGGGCCTCTTAGTCCAGCCTGGCCCTGGGCTCTGGCAAGTGTTAGAAAACTCTTTAGCTCCACCAGTAAGTGCCTGGAGGTACCCTACTCCACCAGTAAGCTTCCACCTGAAGACACTCAACTCTCTTTCACTCTGTGTGTCCTGGAATCTAGCTCCTCTAAGTGCCCAGAGGAACCCCATTCCACCAGCAGCCTCCTGCCTGATGGCACTTAGCTTTCTTGCTCTGTAGGCCAGGAAACCCACTGCACTGTCTGCTATTTCTCCTGCTCCTGATGCCGTTTCTCTGCTGCTGTTTCTTGCCATCTCTTGCCACCTCCATCCAGTGCTACAGCCCTCTTTCTCCTGGGTCTATGAGGTTCCCAGCACAAGGACCCCAGGCTCAAAGGACATGCTCTAATTCCATCTTTTCTTGGTAGTAGTCAGGTCCCCTTTTCCCACCTCTGGGATGGCTCATTTTAAACCCAGCAGGATCTTAAAATTGACTAATCCCCTTGTGAGGGTTCTATACACCTTATTTGTGTTGTCCCACCCCAACAAGGGTGCCATGCACCTTGTTTACATTATTAGCAAGCTATCCTATCCCCTTGGTGCTCCCCAAGCACCTCATTTGCATAGCCCCACCTAGGTATTCAGTGGGAGTTACAAGACCATGGTGAGAAAGGCCATATAAAAGCAATCCGTTGCACCACAAGGACAATGAGGCTCAGAAAGACCCAGTGTCTCATCTAAGATAACATGACCACAGAGGGGAGAGCTGGGAGGGAAGCCCTTGCCTGCTGTCTTCACAGCCCTGGCTCTCAATCTCTTTTTGTGTTGTGTCATACATGGGACCAACCACATGGGAGATGATGGCCAAACATTAGGTGACCAAGAGTCTTGTCCCCTTTCCAGAGTGCTAGAAAGATCTTGTATTGCCTAATATCAACTCCTGACAGGCTATGTATATGAGTTATACCTGCTTTTGAAAATGGATCCTGATTTTGAAATATATAACGTATACTTTTATTCAGGAAGTCTGTGGTCAATTCTTGTTAAAATTGGATTTTGTTTAGTGAGCTGTCTAAGAGCAAGATCTGCCAGCTCAGTGGCTTGGGCTCAGTAGTTCCTCCGGGACCGTGACAGGCCTTGTGGCTGGCCTCGTGGTTTAGAGCACAAGCTTCAGAACTGGGCTTGGGTTAGAATTCTGGTTCTGCCACTCACCAGATGTGGTTAAGAACAAAGACACTAGGTTGGATTCCTGCTTCCATTACTTGCTGTGTGGTCTTGGACAAGCTATTGAACCTATCTGTACCTCAGGGTCCTCAACTTTCAAAGAGATAGGGCTAATAATTGAACCAACCCTACAGATGAGGGTTAAACAAGATCGTGTGTGTAAAAAGTTTAGTTACATCTGTGGTAAGTGTCCAGTAAGTGGTGGGTAGTCGTTATCGTAGTTAACACTGACCCTCTGAAAGGTCCCTTAGGCATTCATGGGGTGTTCATTCTCTCTTCCTCTTCTGCCCCCTTGCAGGTGGAACTCCATGTCCACCTAGATGGAGCCATCAAGCCTGAAACCATCTTATACTATGGCAGGTAAGTCCAGAAGTTAAAGGCTTCCTCTCCATGATTTGGGTGATATCCAGAGGTCCCTAGAAAATTCCAGAGTTGTTGTTCCTTCCTGTTTCCTTATGGGAAGCAAGCCAGCTCCTGGCTAGAAGAAGGTGGTTCTGTGAGGCTGAGGGGACCTCAGCTCTGAGCTCGACACCCACAGTCCAACTCTCTGTCTTCAGTTCCTCTATTGGCCCTTGTCCTCCTGTTGTCAGGTGAAACAGGCCTGAGCTTCCGCCCCTCTGAACCTACACACACACACACACACACACACACACACAGGAACAATGGCAGTTCCCAGAGCTGAGCCAGTCACTCAATTTTGACAGGAGGAGAGCCTGTGCAGATGGCACATGGGATGCCGGGTACCAGTTACTGGGCATCTCCTACTCAGTACACTTAATCTCTCCACACTCGAGGGGTGGGGACTGCCACCCATGTTTTACTGAGGAGGAAATGGGCTCAAAGAAATGAGGACAGTTGTCCAAGGGAACACAAATAAGTAGTAGAATCAAGAGTTGAACCTGGGGCTGTCTGGCCCCCAGATGTTTTACTGCATCATCGTGGTAATGACTGCTCGGTGATATGCAGAAGTGGCACCTCCAGCCTTGGCCCAAATATCTTCATTTTCCAAATGAGAACACACTTCCTGCCTCAGCTCTCTCCACATGCTGGTGGCCAATGCCACCCCCAGCTCCCCCAAGTGAGGGGGCTTTGTCCCCTTCCTTTCCAACTTCAAGTGTTCATAGCACTTAAGAGCAGGGACTTTGGAGTCCAGTGGACCTGGATTCTCATCTGGACTGAACCATTTCCTTGCTGTGACCTTGACCTCTCTAACTTGAGAACCAGACCTTGCACCAGAGCCAGCTGGGAGGTGGGGCCCTCCTGCCACACTCCTGCCCCCAGCAGCCCAGCGTCCTTCACCTATTTGCTTAGCACTTCCTTTGGAGGGCCAGGACTCAGCCTGTCCGTCATTCTCTTGAGCAATTCAGCTCTGGACCCATACTTGAACACTCAAGCATCTGTTGATTTAATTTCTACTTAACTTTGTAAGTATTAATGTTGACTGTGTACCAAGCACCATTTTTAGTGTTTTCCTTGAGTTACCTCATTGAATCCTCATGACAACTGGTGAGGAAAGTGCTATTACTACCCTCATTTTACAGATGAGGAAACTGAGCCATAGACAAGTGAAGTACCTTGCTCAGTACGCAGAGGGCTGAGTCTGGAACCGAAGTCATCTGGCTCCAGAGTCCATGTGCCTAACCACTTCACCTACTAGGTAGAGGTTTGGATTAGTAACACACAAAAAGCTGAGCTCAGGGCCTGGCCCACACCCTGTGCTCTATAAATGGCACTTGGTGACATTGTTCTTATTAAGTGTAACATTAAGGACCTGGCTAAGTGAGGTGAAGCCTCCCAGGCTTATCTTTCTTCTCCTTTGCCCCCATCCAGCCATCAATCATTGCTGCATGGCCCCTAATGAGGTTGTTAGAGTGGGTTATCATGTGCCAAGATGGGCTCTAATCTCCAGATACTCATTAAAGGGTCATAGAGCACTCATTAGTGGGAGCAAGAAGGCAGGCGTGCCCAGGCCGAGTGGGGGGTAAAGGGGAAGGAGTGGCTGTAGAGGCAGCTGGTTTTTTTGGCTGGGTTGGTTTTTGGTTTCCCCCACCCAGCATGGCGTCTCAGAGCCAACTCAGAGAGCCTGTGCGGGGTGAAATGGTGCAGCAGGGGCTTGATCTCCAGGTCAGCAGGCAAAGGGACCAGGGAGGCAGTCCGACCCAGATGTGGGTACCTGTGAACACCCACTGGAGGACTCCCAAATGGAGTGTAGGGACTGCCAGAGGGGGAGGACAGGGAGCACTGGCTTGCCCCACCCCTGCCACACACACTAGCAGACCCTTCTCTGTCTGGGGCTCAGCCTGACTTTGCCTCCGTTCTTGGCCCTTCTCCCATGAGCCCCTTCAGCTCCTACGATTCCACCTTCTCCAGGGCTTCTCTGAGCTCTTTGTCAAGTCTCCTTCACAAGCCTGTCAACTCTTCTTCCAAAGCATGTCCTGAACCGGCCTCTGTCCATACCCTGATCTGGGCACCACAGCCACTTACTTTGGCTATTGCAGCAACATCCTGATTGGTCTCCAGGTGTCTGCCAGTCACTGTGTGCACAGCTCCGTAGTCAGATCTTCAAACAGAATCAGATCAGCTCACACTCCTGCTCAAAACCCGCCAAGGCTCTCATCTCATTCAGGGTAAAAGCTGACGTCTGCAGAGGGCCCTCAAGGCCCCACAAAGCCCATGTGACCTCTCTGACCTCTCCTCCCCTCCTGCTCCTTGCTGAGTACTCACTGGGTGTTTTCCAAACATGCCAGACTTAGGAAGCACAGAGAGGTTAGGTACCTTCCCCAATGTCACACAGCCTCAAGTACCAGAGCTAGACTTCAAACCCAAGGCACTTGCTTCTAAATCTGCTGTTTCTCAGAACAAGTAAACAGGCTCATTTGTTCTGCTTTGTATCCCTCAACAAAGCCATTATGTGCATTTTACTGATGAAGACACGAAGGTGGTTAGAGGGGACAGCTGCCCTGGGTTATATGGTAAAGAAAGGAGAAAGGTAGGATTTGAGGCTTTCTCTGCCCAACTCAACCCTGTGCTTGTCCTCCCTTCCTAGCTGAGGTCGAGCGTCCTGTGGGGGCAGCATGCCCCAGGGTGGGCTGCGGACTGGACGCTCCCCAGGCAGGGACTGTGGGGGAGTGGGGGAATGGGACCCTCCGAGGACAGCGCTTGGCCCTGTGAGGAGCCTCTGCTTCTGTGGAGGGCTGTTGGTGGCAGGAGCAAGGGCCCAGGAGCGACTCCTTCCAGACACAACTTTGGGCCCCAGATAGGTGGCGCTTTACAGCTCAGTCTGTGCCACTCTGGGGACGAGTCCGTGTGAGATGCTGGAGCGGGACTGCTATGTCCTTTGTTGCCCTTCGGGTGTCCTGTGTTCTGATTTCCCTCCAATCTGTTTCCTGGGTAGCAGCCACAAGGAGATTTTCTACAGGCAAATCACTTCACAGCCCTCCCCTGCTTAAGACCCTTCCCGGCTTTCCCCGCTTCGAGGACACCCTGCCAGCCCCGTGCGCTGTCTGACCTGCCTTCCTCTCTGGCTCACCCTCCCACTGCCCCTTTGCTCTCTGAATTTCCTCCAAGCCCCTCCCTGTTTCCTGCCTGAAGCCCTTAGCTAGGCTCTCCCTCCGTCTGCGACCTCCTCCCTCACACTCTCCTCTTTCCCTAACCCTCTGCTTCAGTTCCCTTCCCCTACAGGCTTTCCCTGGCCGCTGCGTCTAAATTGTGTGTTAAAAAGATCTCTCTTGGTGGCTGTTGGGAAAGGATACTGGATAAGAGGAGACTGATCCAAGGAGTGACTGGTGGGTTTGAACCACCCGCCTTCTGGTTAGCAGTCAAGTGCCTTGGGCACTACACTACCAGAGCTCCTTTTTCTCATCTCCTGGAGGATTTTAATCATAGGTGTGTATCTTAAGTTCTCTTCTGATCTCTGCATTGTTTGTGCCTCAGCGTTCCTTCTGCCTGTTCTCTGTCCCTCATGGGAAGTGTTTCTTGAATGTCTGGTCTTCGGTGGCTGCTGTTTCTTTAAAGTGGGGAAATGGAGGTCCAGAGTGACACCTGGAGTTGGGGCAGAGCCAGAGTAGAGAAGGCAGAAGTTCATTCACATCAGGAGGGGGGACCAAGATGCCAATGGGGAAAAAGAAGCTAGCCCCCACAGGGGTTGTGGACAGGTTGGGGAAAGAACTCTGAACTGGAGGCCAGCTCACCTACCTGTCGGGCCCTTTCCCAGCCTGCTGCGACGACCAAGTCTCTCTGATGTGCCGGCCAGACCAAGGGCGGAGAAGGGAAGTCCGGATGCCAGTGCCTGCCCCGGGAATTGTGAAGCTGGAGTTATTGCCTCTGATAACCCCTCAGCTGGCACAGGACCAGCTGGCTCTACCCACTCCTGGCGCTGAGGAGGAAATTGTGTACTTGTCCTTTCTCTTGTCTCCTGGGCCACCAGGATGTGTGTGTGTGTACAGAATCCAACCCAGTTTGTTCCCCCACGAGACTTCCTCACTTGTCATTGTCTTTGGGACAGGGGGTGCTGGAAGGATCTGGTCCTGGTTCTATGTGCCTTGGCCTCAGTTTTCCCATCTGTCCAATGGGAGAAGTAGGATGGAGAGGTCTCATTCCTGTCACAGTTCTAAGCTATCCCGTCAGGCTTGCCTTGGGCTTGTCCACTCCTTTCATTGTTTCTGTCTCCAGGAAGAGAGGGGTCCCCCTCCCAGCCAACACAGTGGAGGAGCTGCAGAGTATTATTGGCATGGACAAGCCGCACACCCTCCCGGAGTTCCTGACCAAGTTTGACTACTACATGCCTGCTATTGCGTGAGTTGCCCCTCACCCTGGGGCCCCTGGGGCCCTTAGACGACCAGGCCTGTGTCCCAGCCTGTGAAGGTGGGAGGAGACATTCTGAAACCCAGTTCTGCTTCTCACTCTTGTGTAGACTTGGGCAAATCTCTCTGTGCCTTAGGGCTTTGGTTTTCCCTTCTGGGAAGTGGCGTGAGGACGGAACTTCCTTCTGCTTCTGCAGAGAAGTAGCAAAGGGTAAGAGGGAGGAGCACAGGTGCCAGAGAGCTTGTTCCTCACTTGAGACGGGATTCCTTATTGGTTTTTTCAGTTTTCATTATTTACTTTTTTTTTTTCCCAGTATTCACCATTATTGCTTTGCAGGTGTCTTTATAATCCAATCTTTATTTGTCTTTGGTGGTTGGAAACATTACATATAACCTTGCAGATATATTGTCATACGTATATAGATACCTAAAAAATATAAAAATCATAAAAATTAATCTCATGATGAAGAAGAGTTGGACGATATTGGCATTTTTGTCAGTTGCAGTAGTCACTCCACTTGTGGAAGGTTCTGGATCATCTGGATTGACCCTGGGAATGGGGATGGTGTGTCTAGCAGGAAATTTTCAGTGAGAACTGAAATATGGTCTTCTTCTTCATGCATTTCACAGTAACAACGTCTCATTGCTTCTCAAATCTATTGACTTCAGCAAAGCAAAAATGGGTCCATGTTTTCAAGCAACTGAAGCCCCTGTTTGAGGTTAGAAAACTAAATCAATATGGCAGTGTTCTGAACAGTAAACCATCACACTGAACATCTGAGAGTACCAAATTCTGTGCTGCAACACTGTATATATGTAGTACTTATTACTGATGATTTTGTGGCTGTTGTTAGGTGCTGTTGAGTCGGTTCCGATTTATATTGACCCTGTGTGCATTCTCACAATTGCTATGTTTGAACTCACTGTTGCAGCCAAGGTGTCAATCCATCTGTGGTGGTGAAGTCTGTGTGTCAACTTGGCTGGGCC